CTTTTTTATTCTTTTTCAAGTGAAAAAAAGTAGGAACAAATTTATTTTCTAGTTTAGTAGAGAAATGTTTGCTCTACGAACTGATATGCACAAATAGAGAAACAGAAATGCACCTAAGGCTCAAAAACCAAAATATACATAAGGGTGGTTTCACACAGGTCCGTACACTTTATACAGAGCATCTTGCCGCGAAAACTACATTTTGCCCATCGTGTAGAGCATCAAAAATAACCTAAAAGTCTCGCTTACGCTTTTTTGAAAAAACGTGTGGAAAGTGGTTTTCTAGACGTCTCAAGTTTTTGGTGAGGGTGAAACCGAAGTCGGTGAAAATGAACGAAACATTGCATAATTATACATCAAATGGTAGCTCTTGACGAGTTGATTCTAATGGTGAAGGAATATGGTCTCGATCTAACTTTTCATTCAAGTGATACTCCATTTACCTGAAAATTTCCTGAAGTTTGACCTCGTTTTTCTCCTAAACGGTCCGAAATTTTTTTGAGATTTTTTCAGGGTAGAAACTACTTACAAGGAAAGGCTCCCGACTGTCAAATCGCTTTTGACGCAACACTTAGGGGACAATGGGTAACCGAGCATGCTGATTCCGAATATGACGATGGTTTTTGCCAATGCGTCTTTGGAGACTCCAGTGTTTGAAAACTGGCTTTTCGCAATGAAAAGCTTTTTTGATCAAAACATTTTTTTGATCCGTACAAATGAAAGCGCATTTCTAAAACCTACGCAAAACTATCTTTTTAAGTTTTTGGAAGCGTGCAAAACTAAAAGTTTGAACGTAAAAAGCCGTTTTTCGGCTGTAGTATTAAATTTTGATCCTTTAAAAACTGTTCAAAACCGTTTCAAAACTTTAAAAAGTAATTTTGCGTAGGTTTTAGAACATGCGCTTTCATTTCTACGGATCAAAAAACATTTTTGGTCAAAAAAGTTTTTCATTGCGAAAACCCAGTTTTCCAAAAATCGGGGTCTCCAAAGACGCATTGGCAAACACCATCGTCATATTTGGAATCAGCATGCTCGGTTACCCATTGCCCACTAAGTGTTGCGTCAAAAGCGATGTGACAGTCGGGGGCCTTCCTGCGTTAGTAGGATCTATAACTTTGCTCATGCAACTGTCCTCGACACTTTCTATTTTTCACCCTCAGTTTTCGAGAAAACCCGTTAAAACCTTACTTCATGAAAAGAATATTGAGCTATTATGACTCTATATTCCTGTTCAGCATGAAGAATTCAATGTACTTCAATGTTTTCTGAGGCTTCTTTGTGGTTCCGTACCACAGTTTTCTAAGAGGTTTTCTCAAAAAGCGAGGATGAAAAATGGAAAGTGTCAGGGATAGTTGTATAGGCAAAGTTATAGATCCTACTAAGTAGTTTCTATCCTGGAAAAATCTCGAAAAATTTTGGACCGTTTAGGAGAAAAACGAGGTCAAACTTCAGGAAATTTTCAGGTAAATGGAGTATCACTCGAATGAAAAGTTAGATCGAGACCATATTTCTTCACCATTAGAATCAACTTGTCAAGAGCTAGTACTTAGTAGTCGAAGGCGTTTGAACACATAGTTAGAAAGTCCTTTGAACGCCGATTGTAAATCATTTATGTTTGATTTTCCAAAATCTTTATAAGCACAAGATAAATGGTGTGCAGAAACTTTCACACCACCCGTTATAGTACAGCAAACAAGTCGTACGATCGAGATAATAGAGTTATTATCTGATATTTTGTCATTTATATGTATGTCATTTCGTGGCTCTTGACATTTATTGAAAATATTAAATTGCACAACAATGAAGAACATAATATTTTTCACATTAGGCGCTTTTAAAAAATTTGAAAGAAAATTCTTTTCGATATGCACAGGCTTTTTGATTCATTGATCGCCGGTTTTTCCATGGTCCAAACCACATCCAAATGGCAACGAGAAATTGATAGGAGAAAAACATAATTGTATAAACGGCCAGTATCCAGTGATCAACAACGATGAGTGAATATTGAACAGCTGATGCGTTTGTAGTTGAAATGACCGAATATGAATAATAGTAATTGATGTAGCCAATGACACCATGATAAATATTGAGTAGACACAGTGCGAATATAGAACCGATGGCATAAATATCAACGGCAGTTAGATAGGATATGGCACTTAGACAGAGACAAGGAAAAATTAGAAAGAACATTATACTAAAAATCTTGAGAAAATCTTAATGGCATCAAACTACTCAGACTTATCTCAAGGATTTCTGGGAAATTATAAAAAAAACTCATATGTAACGAGTGGTTAAATCAATGCTATTCTCATCGAAGAGTTATTCGATATTTCTTCTGTACATGTTGGCTTAAAAATGAGATTCATTTTTAAGCGGGAGAAGCGGTTTCCTCATCGACACGTCGATCGATAGAGAATAGAATTTATGTATGACTGTATGCTGTTGAAATCGAGTCTTGAACAAATTTTAGTTTTTTCTTGTGATGTAGACTTTTCTTAATCAATACTATGCCACATAAAGTGCGAAGATTGTTGAAATAGGTTGGTGGAAGAGCAGTAGTGAAAACTGTATAAAATATTTTGTATAGAACTGCTACAAAATACATTGTAGATTTTAACAAAATCTCCTTAATGTCCCAAAAGTCCGACGAGAAAATTTTTTTTAATAACTCCGCCATTTCTTAGCCAAACTTCAAGGTTGTGTTTTTGTTTTATAGAGAAACGTTCCAAGTTTTATTTCGTACGATTGGAAACTCTTGTTAATATTTGAAAAGATGTTTAGGTTTATTATAGTGTAGTTCAAATATTTTGGGACTCGTTTTTAATAAATTATGTGCTGCAAAACTTTTTGAAAAGAACATAAATAATTTTTAATATTAAAATAAAGTAGATGATGACGGCTTTCACATAATGAAATAAGAATTTGCTTTTGTTTAAAAATGACCGATTGGTGTGGATTTCTTTAGCCATTGTTATTCCATACTAACATCTGGAAAAGTGCAAAAAAGTAATAAAAATATTTTTCAGATAAAGTTAACTAATAAAAGGAAAAACTACTAGTGGAATTCTGTAGAAAGAAGGTAGCCTTATAAACTGGAATAGTTTGAAAGCCTGTAAAAAGTTGTATCAGGCTATTGCAGAAGTCGCAATCCCTAGATCATTCTAATATGGAGAAACTAACTTCTTGTGGCAAAACTTTAAGCTGGACAAAACATTTGAATATGTGGGATTGTAGAGCAATCTGAGTTCTACAAAATGAGACGTAATGCGACTCTGATAAAGATTTCATTTAATTATGACAAACTCAACAATCTTTACGCACTATTACAAGTATTTAAACAGAAAACATATGTTGTAAGTTTTATTATTTTTCCGTACTGATCCTTTTTTACACAGTAAAACTTGGAACATTTCTCTATCGAACCAAAAGACGACCTTGAAGTATGGTTAAGAAATAGCGTAGTTATTAAGATTTTTTCCTGCTGGACTTTTGGGACACCCTGTATTATCGATTTCGAGCTTTTGACATTCTAAATAATGTCATCATAGTTATTCCTTCATTTTTCACACTTGTTTCCTGATAATGACATTAGTTAGAATGTCAAAAGCTCGAAACCGATAATAAATTAAGGAGATTTTGTTAAAATCTATAATGTATTTCGTAGCAGTTCTATACAAAATATTTTATAATATGCTACAGTTTAGCTCATTTAACGGCTGTACACAATCTATGATTCTTGCAAAAGCTTTAAGAGCAAATTCTATTACTTTAGATAGCGAAAAAACCATGGTTTTCTATAGATTTTACATTGATCTCTAAACCCTCTATCGAAAATATTTCTGTTTTTTTAGATTAGATCGGGTTCCAGCAACCATACGAGGGAGGATAGTTCAGCTCTGTGAGATTTTGTACTGACAATTTTTTCAATTTTCACGCTACTCCCACTTTCACGATGAAAAAGTAATCCTTTTAAAAAATGGGGGTGGAAAAACTCATCCAGGACTAAGTTGCATAATGATGAGTTATTCCAGTCTATGAGTAAAAATAGTGTTTTTTGTTTTTTTCGGATGAGCAGTTCCCCGTGACTGAAATTTTATCATTTCTTTTTTTTGGAAAACGGAACTGATACCGTTCCTAATATAAATGAAGTTAGTTCAGAAGGTACGATGCTTCGTCGTCCTCATATGTTCGTTTTTTCTTCTTTTCTCCTCACAGTAGAGTCAAATGTAAAGTTAACAAATACTTACGGTAATGATTTGTTCACTGTCCAACGAAATGCAATTGATGTTAACAGCAATGTGCCAGCTACTTGTACACGACCAAAGATGCTGAAAAAAAAATAGTGACAGAGTTCACGTTCTTTTTTTATGAAGTTAGAAAGTCGTACTTCGATAATGGAATAGAAAATGATGCAAAACTGGCAGATGTAATAAGAAATATGAGAAAATACGCATTCCATAAGAAATACCCACATTTTCTAAAATGTAGATAAACGTAATATTTGAAATTCAAAGAGTGATGTAAATCTAACTACCTTGCCACATGACATGAACAAATTACTATGTCTCGTTTTTCTATTTCTAAATCATCATTCAACTCTTCAATTTGTTCTTTGACAGTGATTTCAACGTGCTCATACAAATACCATTCTTGTTCATCCTACATACATGTACAAAATTTTCAAATAAAAAAATAGCACAGATCATTTTTTCTTACCGTGAATATAAATCGATTCACACCTGATTGTTTATTATTATTTTTAACAAATTTTAACATATTCCTACCCAATTCTTTATTTTGTTTCATTGTCGACACTTGAATAGATAATTTTTGAACGTCCACCGGAAAATGGCTTAATTCCATTTTTTCCCAAAATAAACCTTTGATACGATGATGTTCAGTCACTTCTGTCATTGTAACGGTATTCTGAATTGTATACCAGATATCGTGCTTTTGCAAATCCCCGATGCTGTTAACAATAGCTAAATTTGGATTCCAATGTTGATTATGATTATAGGCTATCTGATCTTTTAACTGTATATCGTTCCATGATGCTTCCAAAATAATCTCCGCATAATATCGTTCACTTAGAAAAAGAGAATAATTTGTTTTTTTATCTCCTGTCTAGGCGTTTAGCACATTCGAGGCGATGGTACTATATTTTTTAACAAGAAACTTCATAGGAAAACACTTTCTTCTCCTTTTTTCTAAGGCAGCAGGTTACACGTAATGTGTCATTTGCTCTGCCTCCGCTATTTTTTTGAATCAGTTATTACATAGCGTGATGCTTCACGATATTTTCAAACTATGAATTTTTTCTTCAAGCTTTTCCAGGTTGTAGAGGATACTCCGAAGTATATGTCCTGAAGTTTTCTCAGTTTACTTACGTTATTTGGCTGAGAAAAAAATTAATTACTTAAAAAATGTTGTTAATTTTTGGGTGCTGACTAGGTCTGGTTTCTTTCTCCACGACAAAATTGCTCAGGTGTTCTGTTAAGACTGAATCTGGAGTAGTAAAACGAGAGACAGTAATTGAACAGAAAAAAACACGCTCGTTCAGAATCTCTCACAGCTTAACGTGATATTTCTGAATATGGTGCAGGAGCTCATTAGAGATATCAGTTTTATATACTTGCTTTTTTTTGTGCGTGAATAGTAGTGAATTCAGTAACTTGTTACGTTCTTTAGAAACAAAGACTATATTGAGATTTCCGGTGCATTAAAAACAGACTGAAAGATAGCCTATCATGTAGCCTGTGAAATTCTGTGTATCAGATGAGGTATTGCTTGAATTTTTTTCGTTGAGTCATTATTTTATTATCACCGATGGATCACATCGCCGCGAATATGTTAGATTTAAAATATCTTACTTTAACGTATCAATATCTCCCACACGTAAGAATATGCAACGCATTCTTATCTCCATGGATATCATCGGTGGTGACATGATTAGTTGAACAGGTGTTTTTAAACGTTCCGTTCCATCGTTGAGAATTTCTACAACTGTTTTCAGTAATGAATAATTTGAATTTCGCATTGCTCGTTCATAATCACCACCTTTACTTTCGAAAGAATGTACAGCTGTTCCATTCGATCGACATAGGTGTTTCGATGATGATGGTCGAGAACCGACTGAAAGTGGCTGACCGGTCGGCAAGATGATAATATTGTCATTCTGATGAGTATCTGATCAAAAAGAGAAACAGTTTACACTATTGATAACTACTATTCCTATACTTACGTCGGCTGTATTGATCCATCGTCCCATCCAACACAACGTACTTGTCACCGTTCTTTTTTTGTTGAAAAAAAAGAGAAGAAACACTTTTATAAAAATTAAATAAATTTATTTCTACTGCTTTTCACTTGAAAAAGAATAAAAAAGAAATGAATATTTTTCTGTGATATACTAGTTCATTTTGACTAAAAGGCAGTCAACTGACGAAACAAGATGACGAGAAAAACATTGCACTTTCTGAAATTATTTCTAATTAAATATCTTTTTCTTTCTTGTTATTTAGTTTTGAAGAGCAGCTGTTCAACTAAAATAAAAAATGTTCTTTGGTGACTATTGAATGCGTTTCTAACAGTTAGTGAATGTGATCAGTTTCGTTTTATGCGAATTATATTACCGGAAAAAAAAATAAAGTTAATGTTGAATTGCTGAAAAGTGCTTTTTCATATCCAGCACACTCGATAACCAGAAGATTTCCCATTTGAGGAGGGAGAGGGTCTACTTCTAAAAGTTTAGGAAAAACTTTTCAAACTAATACCCCATCAGAGGTTTGCGGTCCACGGGTTTCGACTCGTGGGATCAAGTGGCCACGTGACGACGGGCGGGCGAGGTAAGAATCTTCAAGATCTGCACGGGTTCGGACCGGGTACGGGTAATGTCGACACACGGGCGATCCAGGGAGGGTAAAGCAGTGAAATGGAATATACGGGGGCTCGGGCGAGCGGGGTATAAAATTTTTCTTTGAGACCGTTTCGGAGCGTGAAAAACTATTAAGAGATTTGATTCCTTTATGCATCTAGGACGCAACGCACATTGATGGCAAGTCTCTTACTTTTAACCTATAGAAAGCGATTTGACTCGTGATTTATTTGTTCCATATCTTTTTTCATACTGAACGCTTATCAATACGTGAGAAAGTGATTACAGTTCATTTGATTCTTAGAATCGATATTTGACATAGTCCTCATCTTTATCAATATCCAACATCCAATGTTATGAATTATTATCAGATGAACCCTCAGATGTAACGATCTCACTAAAAACTGCTCATTGGTACTCAATTGCTTGCATCTACTTCTTTAAGGCTTAATTGATGACGTGAACTATATAGAACACTTAGGTTATCTGATCTTTGCAAAAGAGGAACCGGAGAAAATATAATTGTGTAAAATCACAGAACAAATACTGCAAAACTATCTCTATGATAGACTCTATTTGTCACTGTTGCGGTAATAGATGAAAGTCATCGCCATCACGTCACTGGAAAATTTTCAGCATATATTTCTTGTAACCTACTGGTGCATAAACAAATATGAGAAAGACCAATGAGGATCATCAAATTCCTGTGGCTAACTCAGTTCATTGATATCTTTCTGGAGATTTATTCTAAAAAGTTTTTAACCAATTAATTAAGTCCTTTTTCCAGACTCGAAAATCAAACGATTTTTCTATTGAGAAAACTTGATGTCTGATGCAAAGCAGACGAATCAAATCAAATTTCGTGATTAATAAAAGTTTCACGGGTTGCACGGGGACGAAGCGGGGCCCGTCGCAAAATTGACAGACGGGCGGATCAGGTTAGGGCGGCTACCGCCATGAGGCACGGGTGGGACGGGGTAGCACAAAAAATTCACGGACCGCGAGGGGACTGCTTAAAAAAACTAGGTCATGGGGGCCGGGGAGGCGAGGAAACGGAAGTCACGGGGCGGGACCTGCAAGGCATGAAAAATCTTTGCCCTACACACTTCTGTTTCTCATGGAAATTTTTGTGCGTCATTTTATTTCAAAATTTTATCTAAACTTTTAGAAGTATCTCGCCAAAACTAGAAAACCTTCGGGGTTATCTAATGTGCTAGATATGAAAAAGCACTTTTCATCAACTCAATATTAACTTTATTTTTTTTTGTTCCGATAATATGAGTAGCTCTCGCCAAGAAGGTTAAAACCTTTTTATTCTGTCCATTCTGCTAGAACTCGATATACCATTTTGTAGAGAAATGTTCAGGTTATAAACTACATAAAAAAATTTCAGATATAAATGGGCAAACATTTTGTGCAGAAACTTTTTCACCACTCGTCATCCGAGCGTTTCAAGAAATGAAACATTACTTTTTTTTCTCTTCTTCTCAGAACAGAAACAATAAGTGATGTCAAGGTTATGAAGTAGAAGAAAGTTAAGGCGTTATAGTAAACAAATAAATACATACATATGGACAAAAATGAAGAAAAAGAAAACAACTCAGTTTTTTTCCGATAACTATCTATCGAATTTCAATGTCCTTTGGGTGCTGGGAGTTTTTCGACATGACGCATCCACGCGGATACTTAGTTTTTTTATCGGACTAACGGTTACTCAGTTCTAGATACACACCCCCTTTTTTTGATATCTAATTATTGTTTTATAACTCAGTGATAATAGGGAAGTTAAGGCGGAAATTATTTGTATAAACACATAATAACATTCTCTAGTCATTCCTAGAAAATCGTAGGTATATACTGTATAGGTCAAGTTTTACGTTCAAAGCTCGATCCCAAATCGAGCGATATTTTAAAAATTCTATATCTCAAAAACTAAACAACATCAACGAATCATTGTTTCATCAAATTGAAGAGCACTGACACAGTTTGGACTCCCATGTAGAAAAAACTTCAACAAATTTTAAAGAAATACAACCATTCATAACCTTCATAATCAAAATAATAATCGTATAAAATTTCTTCCATGCTTAACCTTTCGATCTGAAATTTCCAGCAAAATATATCTTGAACTAGAATGCAATTGTGCTTTGCACAATTTGCGATGTCGACAGACGTTGTATGTGCTAAATAATGACAGAAAGCGCTGCAACAGTAGAAGAGTTCATAATAACTCTTTTCAGCACAATAGACGGCAGCGTACAGGTATGACAGTAAAATCTGTCTTAGATGTGGACCTAGGAGAAAGAAACATTAAATCTTTGCATAATTAAGGCTAAGCTATTGTTTCTTCTTTCATCAGATATCTAAAAGAGCTATCTTATAAATTTATGATAGTGAATTTATCTTTTCTTTTGCTTTCTTTTTCCTAATATTTCTAGCAATCTCAATTATCAATAACTTGAAGTCTGCGTATTCTGACTAACGAATCTTCTTTTTCTTCTTAATTTTCTTCTTGTTTTTCCCACATTAACGAAAATTCTTTTCTCAACAAAGAAATAAACAATTTGTATTGTTCTCAAAGTTCTTCTTAAAAAATGGCGCCAGCAACAAAATGTATGAAAAACTTCTAAGTCCAAAATACATTTTCCGTTAACTTCCTCTATCTTAGGGCGCAGAATGTGGACCACTGCTCGAAAAATGAATAAGCATTGATTAATCTCGAGTATATTAAGAACAATATCCCGTTTTAAGAACTTTTCTAAGTAACGTCCTCTAGATCATGAAGCGCACATTTTACACAAAACAGCGGCCAAAGAAAAAAAAATCTTTTAACGCATCAAAAACGCATAATGTCTGTCGATGTAAAAACATACGGACCATTGCATTCGTCAGGGACGTGACTTCGTAAAATGAAAATGTCTCCATCTCCGTAGTCTGAAGTTTATTGGGCTTGCTTTTTATGTTACAAATGTGTATGAAGTCCCTCTAGTTACGTTGAAAAAAAAGCTATCTTTATGGATATTTACAGGGCTTTTACTTAGAAAACTACGTCTTTAGGGACGTGACGAAAAAAGACAAGAGTTCAGTGCATGTGGCTTCCTCTTAAAACTCTGCGAATTTACAAATAATTTTCCAAATTCTTCTTGTACATTTTGTAGAGGATACTTCCAGCTACAATATTGTCAGCAATCGTTTCTCTCAACTCTTCCAGGATCGTCAGCTAAACATTTCAAAAGCTTCGTTAGCGAAGTGACAGCGTGTGAACATAAAAACGAAAAATACACTTTTAACTGAATAAGAAGCGCAGAACCAATTCTAAATGGTAGAAATCCTTCTTGCGAATCTCAAGATAATGCCAAAACAAAGAATTTGAGGGGTTCTCTGGAAAACTGGTTTTTTAAGAGTTGTAATCGTGCTGAAAATGTCAGCATAGATGTGATTGAATGTAGGGAGTCTATCTTGAAATTCTTGAATTTTTCTGCCATCAGATTAAGAATTTATTCGCTAATTACGTTTTTACTAATTAACTAATAAATATTAATTTGGTGTGAGGCTAAAGAAACAACATTTTTACATGGAATATATGTGCTTTGATCACCAAAAAGTGACTTTTGATCACCAAATTTATTAGCAGTGAAATGATCAGCAAAAAATAAGACTTTTGATTACCAAATCAATTAAAGAAGTTTAAATTAAAGAAAATATATTCAAGAAGAATATGTAGCAATTTAATAGAAAATTAATTGCAAATTAATTAGTGGACAGACAAGAAAAAGAATATAAAGAGAATATATACAAGAAGAAGTATGAACTCATTCCTCCATTTCTCTCGGTTTATCCTTCTAACGATGTATGGAAAATTCTCTAGTATTAAAATTCTTATCTTCTTTACTTGCGTTTTACATTTGATGTTTTATCACAATATGTGTATTAATAGACCCATAAATGGGTATTAGTTCTCAAATAAAGCAAATTCTCAAGAAGAAGTATGATTCAGTCCCGATTCGTCGACAAATTAATAAAAAATAATTGAAATTCCCGACTCGTCGACACTTTTTATTTTCCCGACTCGTCGACACTTTTTTTTTCCCGACTCGTCGACAAATTCATATATATG